ACAAGAACGTCGAATCTGAATCACTTGAAAAAAACACGGGGGTGCTTAACTTTTTTCCAGGTGTATATATATACACATGAGTTCAACCAATAAAATTATAGCTCAGCTTATACTACTTCTAGAAGCATAATATATATTTTACTTTCATTGTAATTCTGAATAATTCATTGGAAGACACCAATATAAATAAGCCATGGCAGCCATAATAAAAATAAACATACATTATGCAGTTACGATCCCCATAGACACCACAAATATGAAAATGTTGACTATTTTACAAAATTAGCTATATAACTTTTATGTAATGTTGAAAAAATATTTCTATTATATTTTTTGGGTACAAAATTATTGAAATAGATGAGGATTATATTTTTTTAAATGTACATATGTAACTTTGCACTTGGAGTGACCATATATAAAACTGGTCAAAAAATAATTAATGTTCCTGAGGCTTTCAGCCATTTTTCAGTTGAAACCCAAGAGACAAGTAGCTAGTTCTACAGCTTCATTCTATGCTTAACTTCAGATTGAACAATAAAATTCCTTTTGAATCCTACTCAAGTTAATTATATTTTTTAAGAATGATGCTACAGGTCCTATGCTGCACTTGGAACTACTTTCTTCATCTGCAGTCATACTCATACTGATGGCCATAATTACACACTAGTGTCCAATACCAAATTTATCATTGTAATAAGTTCATAAAAAAAATAGCCAAATTAATGTTAAACCTCACATCTTGTGAACTTTCCAGACCTTTCTGTATGTGGGCATTGGCTTCCATGACCACATTTGAACAATTTAAAAAAAATAAAACAAAAGATAAAACTTCAATGATGGTGGTGCATCAGTTGAAATTGTGTTCCAATCTTTAACTCAGCATTTTCTAACAAACATCCATTGATTTCAAGGAGTGGTTGGAAGCTTGTGAGCTCAGTCAACTTATACAATGAGTTGTTGTTTTGCCAGATTAGCATGAGGAGTGGTTTCAGAAACTTTTATTATTGTGATTCCACAGTGAACCAAATATTCAGTACGAGAACTAAATCTGATGGCCGTGGTACCACGGCTCATTTCTTTGGTGTCACACCACTAAATTAACATAAATAAATCATTTTTTAAAGTGTGGTTAACCCTCTGTATATTTTGTATCCAAAATTTATCAAAAGATCATTAAAGCACTTATACAGAAAAGTGAGAGACCACAGAAATATCAAAAAGCATTAGAAGAGGATAAAACTAGCAGTATGAAGGTGCATCAGTTTCTTAACTCTCACTGCCATGAGATGTGTGTCCCGATCTAGAACACTGTCATGAACACATAATGGGACATAGTGTTTAACCTTTGTTGTGACCTTTAAAATAGTAGTATCAATCATATGAGATTTGAATTTTGTACACTTTGAAAAAAGGGATAATGTTTTAAACTTCCCAATGTTCACTAGTTTAAGTTTCAGATAAGAGATGAAATATTAGAACATGTGTGTGTATCTGAAAGTAAACATGACACTGGATGTTTCTCTGAAAAGGCCGAAGTAAAAGAGTTAACGACAACATCATTTTCCTTCAAACTCTCACTAAGAATGATTAAGTTACTAAATAACACTCAGAAGCTTCAACACAAATGAAACTTACTTGTTAGCTAAGGACTTTCTCTCCTCAGGTGTGTAGTCTAAGGAGCCAATAGCACCATTACCATGAGTTGGCATAAACCCAATGATAGCTAGTAATGCTGTTCGAACTGTGGATAAAAAAGACAAGCTACCTTAATAAGTGTATCGGAGAATATCATTACTCTGTAAAGTTTTCCAGCAAGTATGAAAATAGGGGTTGTAGGACAACTGCCCCCCTGCAGCCATATCTTCTTATATAAATATAACTGACTAAAATAAGAAAAATAATACACATTTCTTATATTTTATAGAAGAATGAGTTATCTAAAGAATCATCTGCCAGGATAACAAACATGGTAGAAGATTTTCAAAACTGCAATTTGTTGGACTTTTTGAGAGGAATGGCTCATAACTTACAGTTCTAGTGAACTTACGTTATATAACTTTGCATAGTTTAACCTTTTTAAACAAAATTTAACATGAAACCTGTGTTATTTTACCCTATTCAAATATGTATTTATGTTATATAACTTTGAATACTTCATTTTTATTTTATTACAATAAATAAAATTTAATATGAAACCTGTGTTATTTTACCCTATTCAAATATGCATTTACGTTATATAACTTTGAATATTTCATTTTATTTTATTACAATTTAACATGAAACCTGTGTTATTTTAACCTACTTAAATATGTATTTATATTATATAACTTTGAATACTTCATTTTTATTTTATTACAATTTAACATGAAACCTGTGTTATTTTAACCTACTTAAATATGTATTTATATTATATAACTTTGAATACTTCATTTTTATTTTATTACAATAAACATAATTTAACATGAAACCTGTGTTATTTCCTCTTACTTAAGCAGTTTTAGATAATTCATTCTTCTATGAAATACAAGAAATATGTTTTTTTCTTCCTATTTTAGTCAGTTATATTAATATAATAAAATATGGCTATGGGGACAATTTTTCTTACAGGGGGGAGATTTTTTATGAAGATATGTAAAAACATATAAAACACACAATGAATATTAAAAAAAACATCTCGGGAAAAGAATACAAAAATAAAACCAGAAAGGAAGAGTACTAGTAACTTAACATTCACATATGTATTTTCATTATTCTAATGATTTTCATATTAATGTGCGTTTACATCAAATCTTTAAAAGCTTCTAATCAATTAGCATTGATCAACTGTAGTTGTTTTTTAAGAGCAAAGGTACACAATGGGCTATCTTCCTTATCACTGATCAATTACAGAAGAATATCACACACCAACATGACTGAATTACAAATATAAAACTTATTCATAAATAATCTGAATGAAATTGAAGCCTGACTACCAGACTGGAATCCATTTACTTAGAGCAGTAGGTAACTTGTAACACCTAAATAAACTTGTTTGGTCTTCATCAAAGAAACCATCACCAATACTATATATTTCTTTAAAATATTGTTAAATATATGTAATTTGGACTTTTAAAAAGTATACAATTTAAAATATTAATCAATAAAAACATTATTATTTAGAATGAAATGTCATATACTTTACCAATATATGACAGTTCACTTTTTAGTGCTGATATAGGTGACAAAACTCAGGGTAGCCAATTCATACTGCCTGATGCCCAGGATAACAAGTTTTACCATTGTATTTTGCCTGTCAGACAAGTACTTTTTCACTTAATTATATTTTTATACAACTCTGTTATAAGACTAAAACATCAGTGTTGCAATTTAAATGTATATTGCACAAGCATAAATTTGAAAAATTAATAAAAAACACCTTCTGTCTGATTAATTACAAATGTAAATATAATATCAGAGCTAGCCTTTAAAAAATTGTTTTTTAAACACATGCTGTAAAAAAAGCCTTTGTTTTCAACCATATTGCTACTTCTTTTACATAGAGTAATTTTAGATTAACTAAGTTAACATACGAACACCATGCATACGTGCAATGGTATACTGGATCTGGATATCTTAAAGCTATACATTAATCTCTTGTGTTTTTCAACATTTAGAAACAGTGAAAGATTTAATCACTTTATCAGTTACCTGTTGCTACAATACTGAGAGTACCTTTCCATACTTGTTATTCCAAACAATTCAATATTGTTTTACTTATTTATATGTGTGTTTATGACAATACTGGAGCCTTAAGTGTTCCATCTGTAACTGAACACTTACTTTCTAACAAACGAGTAATCACAACTCATTTTATTTGTTAGACAAATGTATACTGAGTCACAGTAAAAACGAATATTTTGGATATTCTTCAAATAGCCTATATTTAAAGTCAAACAACATAAAAATTAGAACAACATCAATTCATTTTGTAAAATAAAACTTTTAATAGTTATAACTTTATCTTAGAAAGTTTGAAAACCACAAGGGAATGAATAAGAATAAAACTAGAAAGTATATTAAGAAAATATAGTTTTAGTGCTAATAAGAAACAACATTTAGCTCCTCCAGATTAGTCATTGTAATGTTTCATTTTTACGAGGATGGTACTATATATATCAACTTTTTAAAAGTTAGCTGTGCAACACTGTAACCCAATTTTCAGCATTTTGTACATGAAAGAAGAGAAACTTTCGCTATAATAATATAGTATTTTGGAATAGCCAATGTCGACTCTATATATTGTCATAAAATAACCTAAATAAGTCAAACAAAGTTATATTAAAATCTCCTGCTATATAAAGTTTGAAACCCAATAGGGAATAAATAATAAGAAACTCAGTCTAATCAGATGTTACTTTTATTGTGATGGCAACACTAATTAAATTCTTAATTGAGGGTATGGCCTAACAAAAGGCTAAATTTCTCTGTTAGAGAACTCCTATGGCTTTTGGATATTTGCATCTGCGTTTTCTTTCTTTTTTTTAAAGAGGATGCTTGAAGCAATGGAATGATTTTCACATTGCATTACATAAAAAACTGATTAATTAGAACAAGTAGGTTTTGTTACATCTGCTTTTGTTTGTTATTAAAAACAAAGCTACACAATAGGCTATATGTGCTCAGCCCACCTTGAATATTGAAACTCAGTTTTTAGTATTATAAGCCTAGAGACTCACTGCTGTGCCATGGGAGGACTGTTACATCTGATTTTAGAAAAGCAGTGTTATTATTACTTTTTTTTTTTGCATTTTACTAAAAATTCTTGTTTATAAAACTTGGAGTTCTATGTTTTTGCAAACTGAATATGGTGTAAGTATGAATCATAAAAACATCTCATTACATTACCTTTTGAAATAATATCCTCTACCTAAATATTGGGTCATCAATACATTAATGTCGCATTTTGAAACACTTTCATTAACCACCCCCCAAAAAATGTTCATCACGTATAATAGTTAAACAAACCACCTAAAGGTCACATTAGTGTAGCCTATATAATGTGTAAAGTTTAGCATACTTTAATCCTTTATAGTGATGGCACATGATGAGCATGTAATGCTGTTTGAATACAAGAAGGGAAACAATGCCTCTGTAACCACAAAGAATATCGTAAGTGTCAATAATGGTTCAGCAAATTTCATTCAGGTGACTTTAGTCTTAAAAACTATGATGGCAGGGGCTGACATGTTGGAATTGATATAGATGCTCTGAAGACGATTATTGAGTCTAACCCAAGGCAATACACTCATGAAATGTCCCTGAAATTGCATGTCTCTCATGAAACAAATGTAAACATCTGAGAAATATGGGAAAACTCCTTAAAGAAGGTGTTTGGGTGCCTCATGAACTCTCTGATGATCATCGTTGCTTCATCTCTTGTGGCGCATAATGCGTGTGAACCATTTTTGGACAGAATTGTCACCAGTGATGAAAAATCGATTATCTATGTGAATATTAAGCACCAAAAACAATGTCTAAGTCCAAGACAAAAACCACTTCCAACTCCAAAACTTGGACTCCATCCCCAGAAAGTGATGCTTTGGATTTGGTAGGACATCAAAGGAGTAATTCATTTTGAACTCCTCCATCCATTGCGAACTGTCAATGCAGAGATGTATAGTCAGCAACTGGAATGTTTTAATCAAGCCCTTCATCAGAAATGCCCTTCATTCGTCAATCGGAAAGGTGTTCTTCTCCATGATAATGCATGTTCACATGTGGCACGTTTGATGCAACACAAGATTATTGAGTTGGGTTGGGAAGTTCTCCCTCACCCATCATATTTGCTAGATATGGCACCATCAGATTACCATCTTTTTCGTTTGCAGCAACACCATCTTAATGGGAAAACGTTTATAAATATGGAAGGTGTTAAAGAGGACATTGACATGTTTATTGCTTCAAAGCCAAGTGATTTCTTTAATCAAGGCATTAACAACTTGATTGTAAGATGGAAAAGCATCTAAAAAAAAAGCAACATTAATTTCTTGGAGACCTTATAGTAACATATATCTTACATGTACTGCATTTACAGTAATTAAACACGTAAGCAAAAGGGCAAGTATTGATAACGTAGTGTCTAAATATATTCGAGCACATAAAATTGCACAAGCAAAACAGAAGCAAGAAATACTCTGCCAAATTCATTTTAAAGTAAGTTACCTAAATAAATAGTCTGATAAGTAAGTTATATAGAGCTATTATAAAGAAACATGGTTGTACGAAAACAGAAAAGTGAGATGACAGTGTATGCAAATATAAACAAAACATGAATGAAAAGATGAAAAAATGACTCTTTTTGCCAAGTATCATGCACAAAAATTGTGTGCTCAATTCTGGCAAGTGTCTTTGGATTGAATTATGTTTTCTTTGTTTGCATTCATGAAGCAAAAATTATTAATAGTCACTAACTGATTGTGTTTGTTGTTTTCTGATGAAGACCTGATCCAAATGTTATTTTTAGTGCTCTAAAAATAAATATTTTTAGGCCTATTTGAGTATGAGATTATCTTCATTCTTTATTATGTTATTATTTTTTTAATTTCTTACTTCTCTAATAGACTGAATAAGCACAGCAATGTTTTTTTTTAAAATAAATTATGTTAGCCTCAGTTCTTGTTTCTCATCTGAGGATGCTAGATAAACCTGGTGAAAGATAGTGAATAAAATAAGCAAAAATTTTACTATGTATAACTGATAAAAACTTTTGTGAATTTTAAAAACACAGTTCTTTCTAATATTTAATTTCAACTACTGTTTATTGCTGAATAAAACCAAAATCCTAAAAATTATATTCAATTTGTGTGTGTATTTTGTGGGGATGGCAAAGAAACAAGTAGGTATCTAAGGATGACAAGTAGATTTTTATAACCTTTTGTCCCTTGGAAAAGTAATTTTTCAAAAATTGCACATCTCTCTATATTCGATAAAAATTATGCAGCATTCTTCATAAATCTTTGTCTGACACTCATCATTAAAATCACAAGAAAAGCAGTCTAAAACAGCAATGTATTTTTTCATTTTTAAATATCCCACATGCACTTAGCTATATAATGTGATAATGCTCAAAAGCTTACAAATAAAAAGACATCTATATATTTATTTGGAACACATTTTATGATAAACTGTATAACTGATGTATACACTATATATGCTTACTTGACCATGATGGCTGCCATGATTCAGGATGGTGTCCTGATATACTTAAACATATCTTCTTGTTTAACTCAAACCTCCCATTGGGCTGAAAATAAATAAGTTTACTCTTTATTGTGTTTTAATTTAAATTGCATCAAAGCCTTTCATGGCTCCTTACAAATCAAAGATCAGAAATTTGATCATAAGGAATTTGTTCTACTTTTTCTTCTTAAGAACAAAATAACAAAAAAGAAAAACCCACTTTTTTACTTCCTTACTTTCAAGAAAAATAGGCATCTTGTTAAAGATTTAATTTACTTAGCATTAGAAGTTTAGTATTCAATAAATCTCAAACCATTCTTCTATTCAGTATTATTGAAAAGCAGGAAGAATAGCAATATAAAATATATCACCGGAGCTGGGCAATTTAATTGATTAACCAATAATATTATTTAAGCAGTAATTATATCAATTAGTGTCAAGTAAACTAGTCGATTTAGCACCAATGACTTTATTTTTATTGATCTGCTGAATAGAATGAAGGCAACTTGCTGGCAGCAGCATCCACTTTTTCTTTTAAAAATTGTATGTATCATGGTTTGAGGAACACTTTATTATTCAAATTCAGTTAATTAATGGGATTGTCAATTAATCAGTTAGCAAATACCAATAACTGCCCAGCTCAATATATCAAAGTTAAGGACATTTAGTAATGTAAGAGCTCATTAGGTGGTTGTAAGTGACATGTGGCAGTAACATTCTCAGTATAATAGGTGAAGAAAAGATTATGGAAAAAAAAGATTGGTTGTTTGCATTTTTTGGTGTAATGGAACCGGTAAAAATGTCAAAAGTAAAAGACTATTAAATGGGAAAAAATATCAAGTTAAAACTAAACAAATCCAAAAAAATCAGGTAAAAAAGAAACTTAAATAGAATTAAAAAGGCTTATGGCTTGCATAAATCTAAAAACACAGTCACGCTGGACAGTGTCACCATCGCCAATGATACTGCCCAACATCAGGGGTAAACAGTTAGAAAACACATCTAAAATGGTGCTGCAACTCACAGTCATAATGATGCCACAACAGTAAAACATGGGCAGTTGTGGCTTGAGTGTCACAAAGGCCACACATTGGTGGATCAGTCCCAGATAAAAGAAAACAATGAGTTAAAAAACTGTGACCAATGTGTAGTCTAGCCAAAACAACTTTCTCCTTCTGATCCTTACAGAGACAAGACGATCAAAGAGCAACAGAAGGTTTGATCTGGAAAAGCTTGTTATGATGTTGCTCACTCCAACTTGACTGCCAACTGGCACGAAGCCGACCCTTGAACACAGGACCATAGCCAATTAATGGGACAGGTACGGCTGTGATAACACCAGAGCAGACGGACTTAGTTGCAGTGTCAGCAAGCTCGTTCGCGTGAATACCAACATGGCCAGGAATCCAGAAAAACTGGATTTAAGCAGAAGACAGTGAAAAGTGGGCCAGTCATTTCTGAATATCAATGAGAATAGGGTGAGAACTAATGTTTAGCAATTCCAGGGCCAGTAGAGAGCAAAGACAGTCAGTGTAAATAGAACAATCAATGTACTGTCATAGCTTTTTCATGATCCAGTGCAAGAGAAATGACATACAACTCAGCAGTGAACACACAAACTGTAGAGGGGATCCTGCAACCAATCAACAAGCCACAAAAAATCATGGCAGAGCCCCAGAGTCACCCGATTTCAAACCATCTGTAAAAATGGGAATAGAAGAATGGTTCGAAAGATGATCAGCAAAGAGAAGAAGGTACTTCCAATTTGGAGTATCCTTCTTCCTCAGATGACTCAAAGAAAGGTCACAGGTGGGGATGGTAATAAGCCATAGTGGGATGGGCTGACCATTGGAGACAGCAACGTTATCCAATGAGAGACCCAATTCAGCCAGCTGTGCCTAGATATGAAGGCCAAAAGGAGGAATGGCAGACTATCTATTCCGAAAGAGCATAGCCCACTAAAGAAGGAAGACACAACCCCAATTGGGATGCTGTGGTAAGAATTGAAGCTTAGTAGCATATTGCAAAGAAAGTTGCAAATGGTGGTGGTGAAAAAGGTTTTTCTTGGGACTCAGTGTACAAGATCTGAATTGGCGAAGTGCAAAAATCCCACCCGTGCAGAGCCAAAGCCCTAGGTGGTGGACAGGGTCCAGCATCTTCAAGGTAGAGGGCTTGATGAAAACATAAACCAGAGACCCATAGTCCAGCTTGGAAGATATGACAGCACGATAGATCTTCAGCATAGAACATTGATTCCTCCCAAGAGGTGGAAGAGAGGACACAGAGGATGTTCAGTGCCCTTGTACACTTGACATGTAGCTGCTTGATTTGAAAAATGAAAGTAAGTTTACAGTCAAAGATACGCCCCCAAGAACTTTACCTCATGAACCACAGGGAGAACAACAACACTGAGACAGAGCTCAGGATCAGGGTGTAAACCCCAATGATGGCAAAACTTAATGCAAAAGGTTTTAGAGAAAGAGAAGGTAAACCCATTTGCAGTGGTCCACTTCAACAAGCGAGTCAGGGCAGTTTGAAGTTCCTGCTCAATAAACCTCATGTTCGATGACCGAAAAGAAATGTGGAAGTCGTCGACATAGAGGCTATTTGTAACCATAGGAAGAAGCTGTTTAGTAATAGCATTGATCTTGATACTTAAAAATGTGACACTCAAGAACACAACCTTGAGGGACTCCAAGTTCCTATGTGAAAGAATGGGAAAGGGCCAAACCCATATGGACTTGGAATTACCAGTGACATAAAAAGTTATGAATAAAAATAGGTAACTGGCCACGCAACCCATATGAATGGAGGTCCCGCAAAATGCTATACCTCCTTGTAGTGTCATAAGCCTTCTCAAGATCAAGGAAATCAGGCACAAGGGGTTCTCTCTTGAGGAAGGCTTCCCTGATCAAGGTTTCATGTCAAATCAGGTGGTCCACGGTGAAGCACTGTCGATGAAAACCACAGTGGGTGGGTGAGAGTAGGTTGATTCAAGGAACCAAATAAGATGAGCATTAACCATCCTCTACAAAACCTTACAAAGACAGCTAGTCAAAGCAATTGGACAATAATTAAAAGAAATCTTGGGACCCTTCTCAGGCTTAGAAAAAGGTAGGACAATAGCCTTGAGCCAATCATCAGGAAAAACGTTCTACTGCCAGATCTGGTTAAAAACAACCAGAAGAAGAGTAAGAGAGGAAGGAGAGAGATGGCACAGCATCTCATAGTGAATGTCATCAGGCTCGAGTGTTGTACTGCCAGACCGATGAAGAGCGAGCTGAAGTTCCACTAGTGTAAAATGGGGATTATAGTCATAGAAACGATCAGCCCAAAAGGAAAGAGGTGATCACTCTGCCCAAGACTTGATGGTCCAGAAGGCAGGGGAAGAAACAGAAGTGCTAGAGATAAGAAAAGCACTCCACAACAGTATCAGCAATGTTCTGTATGCTAGCCATTGGAGAGTAAGAAGCATACTTCCCACTGACCTTCTGAATCTTGTCTCAGACAACTTTGGAACTTGTGGTAGAAGAGATGCTGGTTATGAACTTAATACTAGATTCCTTTTGGCTTTGATGTCTGACCTGCTGAGTATGGGCATGGGCCTGCTGGAAAGCAGTGTGGCTAGAAAGGTATCTCAGGCCCATTTCTGAGCCTTCGTGCCTGCTGGCAGGCAGGATACCACTATGGATGAGAGAGTGGTGAAGGTGAGCCAGTCTGCCTGGTCCAACTTCCATCATGGCACTCAGGTCGGGTGGCATCAACCACGGCCAACCTCCCTCAAAATGATGGGGAAAATTATCAGTACATCATGAGTCACTGTCAACCCACCAAGAAAAATGAGAAAAAAGTGAAGGGGAACAGATAGATAGATCAAAAGCAGTAAAAGACTGACTAGGTGCACGAAAATAGGTAAAAGAACCAGTATTGAAGAGAGACAGGTTATGATCTGAGAGCATTCCCTCATCCCTTCTCATCAATATCAGCACCACCCCAAATGGGATTGTGGCCATTAAAGTCTCCTAGGATTGAAAAGAGAGTTGGCAATTGTTCTACGAGAGCATCAAGGTCTGATTGAACATAAATCTCTCCAGGAGACAGGTAGAGAGAACAATCAGTGATGGTACGATCAACGGAGATACAGATGGCTACAGCCTCCAAGGGTATATCGAGTGGCATTGACAAGGTGGGTATGTGCTGGTCAACCAGCAGTGTCACCACTCCATGAACTCATCCATCACACAACCTGCCATTCCAATATCAAGAAAACTGCTGAAAGGTGACAGTATCAGCAGGTTTCAGGGATGTTTCCTTTATGAAGAGACATACAGGATAACATTCCACTGCTACAGTCGGGGTGCAGACAGATCTTTCTGTGTCTCCTTCAGAGTCTTTCTCACACCATGTGAAGAGTCTTTTTCCCTCTGTAGATACAAAAATTGACAAGTTCACGTCTACTCCTGTCTCTGTCTCCACTGTTGCACCCAGTGACTGCTCAGGTCCATCCCCTTTGGCCCTGAGGTGCAAGACCATTATTTGGTCACTCCCTCAGTCACTGGAGTGTCCATACTCTGACAGATATCTGCCCAGTTGACCCAGGGCAGGTTCCATTAAGGTTGACAGACCTCCTTCTACTAAAGAAAAACAGTGTGGTCACAAGAAGAAGGGTTCTCTGCCCAGTTCTTCTCCACCTAAATAAAAATGAACACTTTTATACAGTGGAACTTTGGAGGTTTTCATTTTAATTTGGATAACATTAAGACCTTGATAGATTTCTACCTCGGGGTAAAAAAAATGATGTTTACAGTACATAAACATTGTACCTCTTTCTCCTCCATCCACTTAGGCAAGATTGAAAATAATTGAGGGTGGAAACCACCACAATTGACATATTGAGGGTCCAGTTGACACTTGTAGACATCATGGTCTTTGCCATCACAATGAGCACAGGTCAAAGAATCATTACAGCCTGCCTTAGAATGTCCAAACCACTAACACTGTAAACTCCTGAGAGGGTTAGGAATATATATGGCTGTACCTTACAGTTTAGATAACCAACCCTGACAGTGACAGGTAGACATGGTGATGTAAACATCAATACAAGAACACTGGTAGGTAGCATAATTCCTTCCTTACGAGTGGAGGTGTGTTGCACAGCAGAAACTGGCAAGGATCTATGACTTGGGGATGATCTTTAAACCCCTCTCAACAACCCTCCTCAGGAAGAATTCAAAGTAGCATGGAGAGTAACCTCAATAGGTACATCCCCAATGGCCTTCGATTTCAGGATGAGTTCACTGTATTTTGGTGTAGACGTTTCCACCAAGATGTCTTCAGAACATTGCTTCTTCACTGACTTTGGAAAGCCAGCAAGCCCCTCAAATCCCTTCTGAATAAAAAAGGGAGATATTTGCCCTAAAGGTTTGTCTGACAAAGAGTTCAAGATGACAAAATGAGGTACAGGTGCAGAATGGGGTGAAGATTGCTATTCAGAGTCTTCTAAATGTGGTCGCTTACCTGTTAACTATATTTTTATTATTTTATTTTTTCAAGGATTGGAGGATCCATAAGAAAATGAGAATGATCCTGTGATCCAATGACCTCACCCACCATGGAGTCCTACAATGACCAACAAGGGCAATGTAGCAACACCAGAGCTTCATGAGCTCTATACCCAAACACCAGCATCACACACAATGTCCACAACTCCCATTCAAAATGGCCCAACACTGGTACTTAGTTGGTACTAGCAACAGGACCAGTCGATTGACCCTGGGGGAGCCACTCCAAGGCCACCTGTCTACAGGAATTCAAGGCCAAAGTGGCGTGTTGAAGTGCCAATGACACCTCTAAACCACAAGGATCCTCTCCTTCCATTCACGGGTCGCCATGCATGGCAAACACATGGGTGGATGTTCAAATCTTAGAGGAGGTGAACTGAAAATACAGAACCTTCCCTGGGAAGTCTCCTCACCATGTACAGGAATACCTCTCAAGGGAGGAAAAAAGATGATGTAAAAAAAAAGGGTCAGTACAGTAAAACAGTATTAAAATATATTAAATAAAATTAATACAATGAGACATCAACTTTTTTACTTGCACAATAATATATTTGTAAAGTTTAGAAAATATAAATTAAAAGAAACTTTAAAAACTCTACATGTATTGGTGGAAATAATTCCGCCATCTTCAGAAGAATAAACCACAAAGTACACAAGAAGTTTGAAAGGGCAGTTAAAGCATTAAAAAACAGAATGGAAAAAATGCCTGAAATATAGAAATAAATTACGAATACTTATAAAACATCACAAGAGACAATAAAGGTTATTATTGTATGTTATATACATTATAAAATTTAAACAAGATTAAAAACTATAGAGCTGAAAACAAAAATCCCTTAGTTAGAAATTATATAGAAACAATTAAAAACCACTGACATCAGGATTAGGAATTGAAAGTATTTAAAATAACAATCCAATAAGCTTCATTTATCTCTTATTAATCTGCTTTAAATATTTAATAAATTTCCCCTTCAATATCTAAAAAAAGAACATGCAAGAAGACCATAAGTAATTTTGGATTTAGTCTTGGTCAACTGCATAAATTTAAACAAGTACTGTCCACCTAACAAAGAATTGAGACCAAAACTAATTGTGATCCTGCATTTTTTGTACCACTAAAATGTAACAAACACTTTTTTTATGTCTATTATATTGATTACTGTACCTTTACTAATAATTTGCTGAGATGAAAGTGTCCCTTTCCTTAAAATCCTGAAAATAATCGAAGCCAAGTAAGGGT